CTCTCTCTCTCTCTCTTTTTCACCAACCCCTCTCTCCTTTTTTTTTTTCTTATATGAGCATACGCTCACGCAATTGCACAAATACGTATACATATGCACAGACGCACCACAATAATGCACATACGCATATACACACATTCTTTTTCTCTCATTCACTCATTCATATTTCTCACTAGCATCATTTTGCACTTCGTGTCCTGCACACGTGTTATCTCTCCCTCCCTCTCTGCCATCATCCGTTTAGTCACGCGCTCTCAATGAAAACCAAGCAGTATTACTATTATTAATTATTATTACTATTATTATTATTATTTTATCATTATAATTATTATAATAATTATTATAATTATTAATATTATTATTCAATATTATTTTTGTTGTGTATCCGCTTAATATATAATATATTATCCAATGTATTTATATATATACTTTTTTTTTTTCATATAAACTCAGTGTTCAAACCAAAGTGGGTGTGATACAACTAAGGTATATGACACATACTGCCCGGTGTATGTGCGTGAGCGATACCGGCGGAGTCTGGTGACGTTCGGGTCGCTGCACGCATTGTGTCCGAACGGGAAAACCTCCCAGACCTGGCCGATGTCACGTAGAGAGGATCGTCTCTATCAGCGCGACGTACTCTCCGGGTTCGCGCGGAGCTTTCGCTATTCATCGCGATTATGCCTAGTGCTTTCGACTCGGGCAAATTGTCTCTCAACAATCCTTCAAAAAAAAAGAAAAAAAAGAAAAACTGGCAAGGTCCGGCTTGTCATTCTTTCTTGTGGATTTTATGTAATTCCCTTTTCGTGATAATGCTAGAAAGATCTTGATTTTAAAATCGAACGAAACAAAAAGAGAAGTTTTCGTTCTCTTCTCCAAAAACATGCGTATTCATGAAATTTTATTTCTTTCCTGTGTTATTAGCTATTCCGTTCTTTTCATCGCATCTTCTAATAGAAACAAAAAAAAAATGTTGACGACTAATCTCGACCTCACCTCTTGCCTCATTTTTCTTTAAATAAATTTTCCTCTATCGAATTTCTTGTTACTTTATTACATTAATTTGCAAAGCTTCCTCTTAAATTTCTCAAATTCAACGTTAATTTGTTTCACCAAACACTTCCTATCTTGTTCCTCATTCATTTACTTTTCCCCGCGTCATCAGGGAAGGAAGTAAAACGGCGAAAATCGTGGTTTCGAGAAGATATCGAACCATCGGAGAGTACGAGCAACGGGCAGGGCGCTAGTCAATATATGACCGAGCGCAGGCAGTGAGCAGTTCATACGTACGTACACAGTATAACGTGGATACGGGGCGAGCGAGAGGCATGAAGCCCCTCTCTTCCAAGGGAGAGGGGATCCATGATCTTGGCTGCGCGGTGGCTGTGCCGTTGCATCGGAAGGGCGAGGACCCGACGAAGGGAGAACCGCGACAAACTCCTCCTTTCTTCATCATGCTTAAGAAAGTCATTCTCGAAAAAACAATGTCACTCGATTTATAAGAAATTCCTCGTTCTTAAAGAAATTGTCTTCACAAATCGAGACGAGATTCCTCGTTCCCGAGAATATTACCGGGACCACGTATTTTTTAGAAATTGATCTCTACAAGATAGAGAATTTCTCGTTTCTGAGGAATTTGTTCTTGCAAATTAGAACTTTTTATTCTGGAGGGATTCGCTCGTAGTTCAGGGAACGTTTTCCTCGCACAACTCGCACGCACAGCCGGCAGAGAGAGGAGACGGCAGAGAGAGATATCTGCGGGCTCCTCCCGCGCACCTTAATTACCTAAGTCACATCGAACAGACGCAATTCCCCACAGTATCTTTCGCTTCCGCAAAGTTTCCCTCAAATCTCACACACTCTCTCCTTCTTTCTCACATTAATTTTTACTTTCTTTCTTCTTCCACTCTCCCTCTCCGCCACGGTTGCTGGTATCTTTCACTCTTTCTCTTTCTCGCTTTCTCTCTCTCTCCCTCTCTCACGCTCTAATCTATGTCATTCTTTTTATATATTATATATAACAATATTTATATAATGAATTTTTAATGGATTCGAGATGCAGAAAGAACTTTGAGTCATTTCTGGCACGGATAAAAAGGAAGAAACAAAAATACTTTGGCTTTCGCGTAATTTTAAATGAAGCATAATTCTCATAATTTAGCGTTTAATACATTTTTGAGAAAAAAGAAAGAGAACAAAAAAATAAGAAAAAAACAGAAAGGAAAGAAAAAAAGAAAAACAACAACACCACACTAGTAAATGGCACTAGAATTGCTCTCACTCGTGTCATTGAATCTAATTCGCGATTAAAAAGCCAATTTTTTTAAATTTTATTTTATTTTTTCGTTCGCTCGCCTCGTCGTTTCGCCTCTTCAGTTTCTTCTCCTCTGTTGAGATCTCTTGGACTTGAGACGAACACAGACGGACGCGCCATTAAAAATCCACGCGGCACAGCCGCGCCATGCGCCACGCTCACGCGCGTAAAATATATGATTCGCCAGCCAGCGTTTGTTCGCTTTGATATACACACATACACACGCACACATATATATATATATGTATATATGTATACATAAAAGTCAGACAACGATGCCCGGGACCCTTAGGTATTTACGCATCCTTGGCCCGGGAATGGGGCACATTTGCCCGCGATATCGACTAAGAACTAATCTACAAAAGAAAGGTAACAAATCCCAAAACGGAAACCTGTACGAGAGAACCGAATCGACTCGCGCGAGTTGGTATCGACAGTGAAGAGATTTTCTCATAGCTCTCTTCCTCCGCTAAGAAGAAGAACGCGTAACGCTCGTGATGCTTTTAGGTCCTTGTTCGCCTTCTTACTTCGCCCCATTTTTACGTCCTTCTTAATTACGTGTGTATTACGCGTCTTAGCTACTTGTGCTAGTATAACACTCTCGATGCGACAAAGTTCGATCAAACGCAATGCGATGCAACGCACGTGTCGATATATGTGCGTATATGATGGCACCATGAGTTTGTCTCGTTTCTGTCTCGCGCCTCTTCGTCGTTCCTCACGTCGTTCCACGGATCACGCTCGCGATTCAACGGAGTAGTAGTCTCGCACTGATACATTGGTCAGGGTGCGAGAAGAAACTGGTCGAGTCCGCTCGGATTTGCAGCGCGATTCGCCGTCTAAACCAGATTGTACTCTTTCAGATTGGACTGTAGAATAGTGTCCTTTACTGCCGCGAACACGAATCTGATATTCTCCGTATCTGTAGAACAGAAAAGTCACATATTCAAATAACCAGAATGTATCTTTAAAACTCGTTTAAAAGAAACATTAATTGATTGCAAGCATTGTTCGGTACATGCTATGAATTATTTTCTTTCTTCACAAATGAGAATTCTCTTGCTTATCGTTATCACTTGTAATTTAAACCTTTTGAGACTTTTAATACACTAAATATTCTCAGAAAATTGATATTCACAAATTTAAAACTAATGATGTGCCTATGTTTTTGTAAAATATATCACATCATGCTTTGCTAGTTATTATGAATGCTGTATAATATAAATTATTGATCCTTAATAATTTCAGAATACCATTAAAGATCTGTTTTGAAAGAATTAACATAAAAATTAGCGCAAAACGGAGATTGGCACTTACCCTAAGCGAGAAGCTTCAAACTCTGGACAGTCATGACACACATGCAGCATGCAATTCCCTTCAAGATACTTTTTGTACCAATATGAGAAAGAAATCACTAACATAATTTCTTTTTCAATACTTGTTTTAAAGAAGCTTAAGTAATCAAAGATTAATGATGCAAAATTGAAAAGATCAATTTTGTTAATATAGATTTAAAATATTAGAATAAACACATTAAAGCGTGAAATAATTTAAGTATTTCTACAAATATAAATACTCGTATATATAGGTATTAAGATATCATTTCATTGAATTTAAATCACGGATTGGAATATATATATTGGAATATATATATATATATATATATATATAATTTTACAATTGTTATAAAAATATTATGTATCTTCATATAAGAGTTTGTAAACAAAGGTAATCTTAATCATAAATAATGGAATATTCTATTCTTGCCAGATTCTATAATATGATGATATAACAGACAAAATAGAAATATCGCAAAAAACTTTTATTAAAAAGATATCGGCAATGCAATATGTTATAAAAAATGGATTAATTATAGATTAATTATTGCTTGGTAATTATAGCAATTATTAGAGCGATCGTCAATTGCTATATTTCTTTTATTTAGGGATTACAAAGCTCTAATAATATATTTTTAATTAACGTATATTGTAATACGTTATTGTCAACGATAAAGTTGGCAGTTATTTTCGAAGTTTTCAAAAATAAAATTATTCGCAGTCGACGACCAATCGTCCAGAATGACAGATTTAAGTTCCGAAATAAATTTTAAAAGGCAACATATGATAATATTTGACAAATATGTAATAACATCTGTCAAGCAATCGCTTTACTATTTGTTTACTCCTATAACATTCGTTGGTTGGAATTATACTAAAATAGTTTTGTTATAAATCTATTGTACATACAAGTCTACGTCATTCTCGGCGTCCAAATATAAATAATATCGTCAAAAATCTGCGAATAATTAATATCTATACGGTCGCATTAAGCAAGATTAAACTCCTTAAGCGCGGTTTGCATGATCGTATCCTTAACAGCGCAGAATACAAGCTTGATGTTTTCCGTATCTGATGGTTAATTCCATGAACGCAGCATGCAAAATATAAATCAGGCATCATTGAGATTAGTCAGCACCGTTTTATGCCTTTGAAAAATCAACCTGATACCGAATTTATTGATATTTACATTATTTTACTATTTTCTTCTAATATTTCGTAATAATTCAGTAAATCAATAAACACTGAAAAATGTATACAGGATATTTATAAAATTATATATACTACATAAATAATATTTATATCAAGTGTAAATTAAATTATAATAAATAAATTTGAAAGATTAGAATCGTTGCGTTAAAGATAAGTAATAGATTATTTGTACTATTCTTTCGCTCTCTTTAAAAAAAGATGCCTTTCATACATGCAGGTTGATTTTCCGTGGTACATTTATAACATTTGATTACACACCTGATTATACGGGAGGCAGGCAACATACAAGCTCTGTACAAGACATAACACATCGAAGAACTGTTATAAAGCGAAAGAAATATGGTATTTTTGTACACGGGAGTTATCAAGAGACTAGCCTACCTGTGGCACACGTAAAGTGGGAATAAATAATCTTCTCGCTGTCTGGATTCAAGTCAACGAACATCCTTAGAATGAATTCTCTAGCTGCAAGAGCGTCTCTCTGCCGACCTGCGAAATACACAAGCGAGGGAGGGGTATGGCATTACTTCCGTTTATCTACAAAGCGATGATGTATTGCGTCAGTATTTTTTTAGCGATTGTTTAACAACGAGAGGATTAATTGATATCGTTGAGATTTTTGCCAGGTGTAAATACGACAAGATATAAGCTAAAATTTGGCTAAATCTTCCGTGTTACGGGATTTCTAAGTGTTTTACAAGACAAGAATGAATCTACGTTCAGGAAATATTATCGCTCAACATCAGTTTTGCTTATATGCACAACATAACGCGAAACACAGACGGATATCGATTTAATTTAATGTAATAATGTTGTACTCCACTCAAATCCAATATACACTCTCCAAGGACAACTTATTAAATTAGTCGTAGTGAACATCAAAGAAGCCTTTCGAAAGCCTCATTAATAAGCTAGAGAGCTTATGTAAGAACACCGAGTATAATTTTGCAAATTCGCAATAGTTGCTTACATGTTATAACTCGTAATAAAATCTAAAATTCCCTTATCGCGAACTGAAAATTTCATAAATTGTTTGTTAGTGTTTAAAAATTTCAGTTTAATGTAACTTTGGCTGAATAAATATTTAAACTTTCAGTATGTAATTTACATTAAATGTTCAATAATTAATGACATAACAAATTTATAAAATAAATTACAACACAGGATGTGACGAGTGTTCTGATTATTGCTATTAGATTAACTAGCTTCAATCTACATTCAAGTTAATTTTATATAAAAATTACGTACTACTGATTATCATATTATAAATTATGCGTAGAAGTGTGGATATAGGTTTGGTATGTATTAAAATAGCCTTGCAAATAGATTACTACTATATAATAAACGCGAATTCAGAAACATTGAGCGGCAAAGTTACAAAAAAATAGCATGAAAATCGCACGAAATATCGTATTATTAAATCGTTCGACAAATAACTAGGGAATCTACGTTTTCTGCTCAGGATACACTCAGTACTCGGACAGACCTGTCGCACACGTAAAGTGAGAGTAGCACATTCGGTCGGGATCGGGATTACAATTGAGATACACCTTTAAGATGAACTCCCTGGCTGGTACGTCTTGTTGTTTTGGGCCTATACCATAGAACTTATTTTTATTTACCAATATCGAGACAAATAATCTCATCACACTTTAATTTAGCCTGTGAGTGAGTCTTGAGATAAATTAATAATTTAATAAATATCGATTAATGCTTTGTTTTAACTTCTTTGAGGGTATTAAAACAGTATAACTTCAAATATATCTTCATCTTTTATATAATAAACATCTTGCGTTCAGAGTTTATTTCCATTTCTAAGTATGAGATAAGATACTGTCTGACTAAATTAATAACAAGATAGTTAGCATTTTATGTCGGATGATTAATGATAATCCATGGATATTTGTAGAAAGAAGATATAACTTACCATCATATTCCGGAAAGTAGTCGACAAGATGAGAATACATAATCTTTTCTTCTAACAGATCTTTCTTGTTGAGAAATAGAATAACAGAGGAGTGTTGAAACCAGGGATATGTTATAATTGTTTTGAACAGTGCTTTACTTTCTTCCATTCGATTCTAAAAGAAATCACACACATAAATGAGTTGTAATATCACCTAAATTCATGGATAATTTTTGTATATCTAGTAAAGTATTTTAATTACCTCGTTTTCCGATTCAAATAGAATTTGATCATATTCACTTAGAGCTACTAAAAATATAATTGAAGTGACGTTTTCGAAACAATGGATCCACTTTCTTCTTTCCGACCTCTGCCCACCGACGTCTACCATCCTGTAAATAACATTCTGTTAAATTGAGCACTGTTATTAGTATACAAACAAAATATAGTTAAATCTTCATATTTTTAATTTAAAATGATTAACAAAAATTAATATAAAAATGTATGGAAAAAAGATTTATTTTAAAAATGTTATTATATTTACATAATAAAGATTATTTTAAAATATTTTCAAAAGCAACACAAAAGGAAAAGAATACGAAGATTCAGTTAGATAATTTTCCTAGTTACTAAAAAGTATAGTCTATCGAATATGATCTCTACATGCTTTTCAATCTTCATCAAGAAATACATAGGATGAATCGGGTCATACGATGAGTAGGTCCTTAAATTTTAACAAACTCAGCGAGTCAAATATAATGCATTGCTATTGTGGCATCTAGTATGCTGCGCTCATCATCTATTTAGGATCTTTCGTAGTTTGCAATAAAAATGCAAATAAAATTAATTAAATTTTTTTCATTGGTTACGCGATTAAAAATTTACACTTATTGTTAAAAAGTTTTTTCTGTTTAAAGATTAAAAATCAAAATAAACTTAAAGTAATTATATTAAATTTAAAAAAATAGACTATTTTATATGAACATACCTATGTATAATATTAATTATAATTACAAACTTTTAAAACATTTATAAATGTTCAATTTCATTAATGATCTACATAAAATAAATAGTAAATAGTTTTTTGACTTAATTCATTTTGATCTATTATATAAAATCCTTTTATATAAACATATAACATTTAATTAAACTATTTAATTATTCTAATACATTCATAAACGCGTATGAAAGTACATATTTACTATTCTTAATCGCAACGTAGTTATAAACGATATTAATATAAAGTTTACCACATGCAGTAGTACTATGGTAACTACACACGAAACAAATAGATAGTGAACGAATAGCGAATGTAAATGTAAACATACTATGTAGAAAATTATTTACGCCACAATAAATGCGTAACAGTATATTCGTTAATGTTTAATTTAATCCGCTCATAAGATACACTACATTAAAAAATTTATTTATTTTTGTATTTGCTGTTCGTTCGCTTACGTATACTCATTTAATTGAACAATCTAATAAAAAATGTAAAACACAAAAAGGCATGCAAACGTCAAAGCTTCTTCAAAATAATTATAAAATTATATACATATATGTATATGTATATAATTATAATATATGTGTATGTATATGTATATATACATATATAAAACTCTTGTTCATCCTTCTCCTCTGTCGAAAAAAATAAAATAAAGCATATATCACAATATTACTTAAACAAATGTTGAATTACATTCCAATTTTTATAACAAATAACACATTAAATACTTTTAATAATTTTATTAATAATCAAATTAAAGTTTTACTGAAGTGATGGACTTAAAAATAAATTATACATATACTATTATTATCATATTTACGTTTCCAAAAATTAAATTCCTCAAAATATATTTTTCTACATTTTCTAGATTTTCTATTATAAGCGATTGTAATTTAGAAATAATTAGAGCTACGATGATGTAGGTATTAAAAAAACAATCTACTTTAAATTCATCAAAAATATTAATTTAAAATAATTTCAATAAGGGAAAGAAAATAATTTAAATGGTACACATTGCCTTCTATGTATAAAGATATTTTGCGAAAAACTCGAGTGCATGTTCAAAGGTATAGAATCGGATTGAAAGACTATTAGTACCTAAATATGATGGAGTCCAGATCAAATGGATATTCTATAATTCCGGTGGTGGGAGCTCGTGCCCGGAGGATGTCTTGCTCGGTCGGAAGGAAATCAGGCTTTTCAATACGCTCTAGGTCACTAAGATAACTGCAAAACGAAACAAAAAGCTGCTGTCTGGAAGTGCATGCCATGCGTGATATATACATTTAAAATATATATATATTTAAACATAAATAATCATAAAACAAGAAGATGTCGTAAAACAGTTCTCACACATGCTTGTCCATTGGTTTAGCCTGAAAGAATTTATTAACGTCGATGCCGTGTCCTGAGACTATGTTTTACGTCTTTTACGATATACTTTTATTTTCGAAATACGTAATTTGTACACGAATAGATTTCTTTACGATAGAAGATAGCAAAGTTAGCTGTATTCGTACATCGATTTTGAATAAAAGATAAAATAACATTAAATATCACACATATAAAATAATTACGCAGTTCTAATTTTTATCAATATATTAGATATCAAAGAAAAAAAACTATAGTTTGCTATAATCAATTTTAGATCTTTATAAAGCAGAAATATATTTAAATGTTTCAGTTTCATCTACATAAATATTAAGTCAATTCAATCACATCTAATATGGTAATAAACGCGGCTATAGTTTTTAGCAATTTAAAAAATTTTGTTGTCAATTTTGTTTATCAGAAGAAAGTCACAGGTTTGAATAGCATTGTATGGAACGGGGGATAGGTGAACACTTAATCAAACAATGAATCCTAGGTGCAGCGAATAAGTTATAGAAGATAAAAATAATGCAGAAATGGCCCGATGCAGGTGGTTTTGCAGGCGCAGGCAGCTCGTATCTTCTTTCATCATCTTCGTCGGTCGACCACATACCTAAATCGGATCTCTTCCAAGTCAAAAGGATATTCAATTATACCGGTGGTGGGCACTCTCACACGAAGAATGTCCTGTTCTGTGGGGAGGTAGTTTGGTGCCGCGACTCGATCTATCTCCATTAGGTAACTGAAACATCGTGTTCTTAATACGCGGTGTACAGGAAAGAGGACAACAGGAGAGAAAGGGAGTAAAGCCACCGTGAGAGAATTAAATCGTGTCCGGTGTGCGTGTGAATATCAGAAGCATTGCTTCGAAATGCAAACGCAAGAATTTAAACAAGATTCAGAGAAAAATCTCGGTAAAATCTCTGAAAATGAAGAGCTTATTGAAAGGCCTTAAGTCAACTATCATTCTCTTTTTCTTCAGAGAGAAAATGAACGGAAATATGTTACTACACATACATTATATGTTAAAAGGCAATCTTTATTAAAAACTGACCCAAGCCCTTTTGGAAAGAAATTGTTTGGATATATTATACTTGCGTGTTCTGGAGGCGGAAAATACAAAGTGTCTTTTCATACGTATCGTACACAGTTCTGATAAGAAATATTTTTTATTAATTTAGTATATCTCCTTTCGCTTGATTAGAATTGTATAGACGAATTGATGAGATAAAATTTGTTTGTAAGAAACAGTAAGAGCACAGAAGTCACGAGTCTTGATGCTCTCTTTTCTCAAGAAAAGAGAGAAAAATCCTCAATTTGTTGAAAACGAATCAATGAGAAAGATTAGTATTAAGTCGTTCTGTTACATAAGTTTTGTCGGTGAGGAAGTTGAGAATGTTATAAATGGACAAACGGCAGGATAATCTCTCGGTAAAACACGTGGACAAGCATCAGTTCCGCGACAAGAGGGCGTAGTACAGTCGAAACACTTACTACTTGGCGGAATCCGTGAGCTGGTATTCCCGTCTACGATCGTAGCACTCCTGTATACCCGCGTCCGCCCACAGGTCTTTGATTGCCCCCACGTACGGGCTCTCGAACGTCGTCACCGTTTCGAAGTCGACGCTCCGCACCAATTCTGCTTTTTCCTGAAAGGAAAAGGAAGGAAAAACGTATGAATCTGCGGAAATGATAAAGTGAAATTACCATGTACAATTTACGAGTTTCCGGTTTGACATATCGGGATGTACGGTATCAAGTATGCGATACGAAGTTATCGTTAACCTTCTCATGTGCAGCACAATTAACGCTTTAATTAACCCTTTAACGCGAAGTCTGACCTGCATACGATGGCAGATTTAAAGCGTTTGATATATATCTGATGTGTACACATCTCGAAACCGCGTTAAATTAAATGATACGAGATAGGATCAGTAAATCAATTAAAGAATGCAAAATTTATAATAAAAAGTAATATTTTTATCAATTCTAGGAAAATCATATTCCATTAATTGGAAAAAAACTCTGGTTCAATCAGAGATTTAATCAGAAAAGTATAAATTAGATACTTGTGTAGTCAAATTTATTAAACATTTTAATCTAGCACACGAGATAATTAGAAATTCAATTACGATAACCAGAATTCTGGTTGATATAATCGAAATTTAATTTTTTTGTACTTGTTGGTATAACGAGAACATTTTTCTCAGTAAAAACACTGCAATAAAACCGTAAATTTATATTCAATGTCACTTCAATTTTAAAAATGCCGTTTCAAAAATTTTGAAAAATTAATTTAAGAAAGTATCAGTAATCTCTGTAAAAAATGATTGAAATTAGCAATTTATATTTTCTGTAGAAAAATAAATGCTATAAATATATGAAATGTTTAATAAGATCAATATCTATATTTAATCATACAATTATGCAGTATAGATGAACATATTCTCATTTTATGTTAATCATTTTTTTTTTTAAACATTTCTACTTCTAATTGAATAATTTTAATTAACCAAATTTTAAATCGCTAAACTATTTGTATTACTTTAAATATAATAGAAAAAACTATATTTATAATTTTTTTCATTTTGTTAAAAAATACGTGTAATATATATCTTTACGTTAAAGCAATTTTACGATGCATTGCTGTTGTAAAATTCAAAGATTTGCCTTGCATAGACATATTAAGTATAAGCAATTGATAAAATTGTGAATAATACGCACTATATTCGAGGAATCGCCATACTGGATTTTCAGGAGGTCCATCGCCCGGATCATGGACTGCATCGCCATAAAAATGTTTTGGTACACAAGTTTGATAAATCCCTTCTTGTCCTCGTCCGAGTAGCCGGAGCCATGGATAATCCTCATCTGCTTAATGAAGGTAGACTTGCCCGACTCGCCGGTTCCTGTGACAAAGTTTTGGTCTTTATTACCTCGTTGTCAAAGTAAATAAATAAGTAACGATTTCTCTCTGTTAGGGAGCGAGACTGTGTTGAGATTTCCGACCGGACGTATATTTAAAACTTTTATATAAAATAACAAAGCGCAACATTTTTACAATTATAGTAAATAATTAATAAATTATTAAGATATAATATTTAACTTTTTAATCATGATGCGTGAGTAACGTATTCAAATTATTAATAAAAAAAGGCAGATAATACCAAAATATAGAGAGCATTGATAAATTTATTATGTCAAATTATACTCAATTATCTTTAATCATTTGCATAAATCATCACTTCTCCTACGCAGTGTGTATATAACATGATATTAATTTAACTAAAACAATGGAGTTAAACAATTTAATTTAAATAAATATATAACATTTAATTCAAATTTAGTTTATTATTTACTAAATACATACATTAATATGAACGTTATTTACTTTGAAACTATCCATAGAAATAAATTGATTTACATTTTGACTCATATAAGTAAAAAATAATAAAATGTTTTAACTCGAAAAATTGCATTACCATAACTTCTTTGATATCTAAAGCAATATACTGTTCGTTGTTAGATTAATTATTATTTAAAATATATAATGTAAATTGGACTCTCGATATTCAAACAATAAAATAAAAAGTCAACGGGCAAATGAGAGTTTTTAAATAATATCTACGCGGTAAACAGTGCGTTAATATAAAAACATATAATTATTCACAACCATAAATAATTTATAACGTCGGTTAAAATTATGTACGTTTTTTTCGACTGATTTCCAATTATTATTATTTAATTATTTCTGTTTAATCGGTATAACACAACTAAACATTGAAATTAACAAATATTTGTACGCGCATGTAAAATTTAAAAAATTTTACTATACAGAAGAGAGGGTAGTATTTATTACTAATTTGGCCCCTCTTAATATCTCCGCTATTAAGTGGTGAATTCTAATGATTACTTCTGGAATGTATTTGTTCAATAGCTTGCGTTACATCATGACGTTAATATACCCCCCAATACACAATATAGTCAACATTTATTATAATATATTTTTACTTTCAGCATTTTGAAACGTTAAATTACATTCAATTATACACTTCTTCATTCTTCTTTTTGAGTATATTATTATACAAATATATATATACCATATACTCGAGTGTTGTTTGTTATTTAACATTTTACTTGGTATACACGTGAATAAGTTAAACAATAGCATGACATTTTGCTAATGTGGCCTCCTATGCGCGTTGATTGCTGACCTCTTTTTTTAAGGTTTTCATAGCAAAAATAATTATTCCATAAATCGATAATTTTATTGTTAATCTATAGTTTATGTTACATATATTATAGATTTTACTAACCCGTTCTTCTATGCGGAAGAAATTACATGTGCGTATATATTATATTGTACATTTATATATTTTACTTTTCTGTTAATTTTATAATGTAAAAAAAAAAACAAATACTGTTTTTTAAACAAAACTAATTTTTCAAATCTATTTTTGCGGAAAGTTATATTATCACCTCTATTTTTATAGTGTCCTAAGTAATAAAGGTTTCGTAACTTTAAGCCGATTGAACAACACTTTGGCGAATATAATTGTTAAATATTTTAAATTTAAATATTTACTAAGTTATTGTATAAAACGTAAATGGAATGATACCATCATCTCTCCTTTATATACTTACTCTATCTATATACCAGGAAAACGTAACTAAATTTTTTGACGAGCCAAATATAAAATTTAAAGTTATACCGCGGGCCACGTCAGTAAAATTTAGAATTCATATATTTTGTCTTCTTCGAATTATCCAGGAATCACCACGTGGACGTGGGATAAAGTCGATTCATTGATCCGTCCAATGAGAATTGCATACATAGATATATATATGACGCATAAAGTTTGTTGAGATCACTCGAACGGAGCGGACGTGTTTCGTCCTGGCTCGAGTGTTACATCATCTCACCTATATACTATTGTATATTTTTGAAAAGTGTCGCCAACTTCGACTGTACGATCGTTTTGCTAGCTTTTTATTGCTAGCTTTTTATTGCTACTAATTTCGTTTTTACGTCACTCGCCACCGCTGGCTATTTCGATTTTAATATATGCGTAAATTTCGGGGCTTCGATCCCCTAATATCAATTGCAATATCAGTGATATATCAAAAATTAATTTAGCATTATGCGCTAATTCAGTTTATTTTTCGTTTTTTTTTTTCGCGAGTTTAAGCTTGAACCACGCGGACCGTCAGTTACGTATTCCTACTATATACTCTACCACCCTCTGTATAATATATACGAATATTAATTGTGGAAAAATTCTAACATCAGTTTCTAGCTCGATACATCAACAACTTCGCGCCTCGCAAGTCGCGCGAAGATTGTCCGCTTCTGTGAAACGGTAGGGCGATTAGTCCGGCCAGAGGCAAGTGGAGGGTGGTGGAGGGAGAAGAGGGGTTGCTGCGGGCGGCGGTGGTGCTGTTGCTGGCAACGGCGGCGGCGTCGCGGCGGCGGCGAGTGTGTAGGTGGCGCGTGTCGCGTCGCCACCGTCGTTTCCTCACGAAATCATGAATGAACGCGACCGCGCGCGGCCGCCGCCGGCGTGACGTGCGGTAGTTTTCTCAGCCTTACGAATATCACTCCCAACGGCGGGTAATAATATCGCTTAGCATTACGAACGTCATTCGAGATCTCGTGATCTTCTTCCTCCAATTGAGGAAAGAACACGATTGTAGTCCTTTAAGATGAATCATGAGAAATAGAAAACACCGACAGAGGAGATTATCACTTATCAACTTTTAAACATAGCATAATGTAAAGTATTTGTTAGGCATATACTGTTAGATATCATAAGAACAATGGCAATCTAATTCATTGAGTTTTAAGTAACATTTTCTTATTTTTAACGTCCTTTACGTGTGCTAAAATGCAAATCCATTTCTGTGGTTAATTTCGAAGTAAACATCGTTCATATTAATGAACATACAATTCGTAAATAATAAACCAAATTTGAGTAAACAAATTTAACACAGTTTCTGGAGTCAAATTGTTTAACTCTATTGTTTTAGTCAATTTGACGATATATTGCGTAGGATTAATAGCGACCTATATATAGAAACGACTGAAAATAACTTAAACTGGATATAATTTGACATTATGGATTTAACAGTGCAATATAACCTTTTAATTACTTTGAACGATACACGTAACGTGCATATATGCAATATAATATACAAAATATATAAATTATCTTCTAAAAATATCCTAATTGACAAATAAGTTGAGAACTGAGTAAATTCCAGATTGGAGCATTTAACTCTCTCTGGACGGCAAAATATTTATATTAAATATTTATATTAATATTATTTTTATTTATTTAAATATATTTATATTTATTTTTTTCTTTCGACAGAAAAAATAGAATTATAAAAATGTGCAATTTAAAAAATTCCAAACTTTACTCGTATTGTAGGAATTGTAAAAAATTATAAAATACATTACGTAAGAAAAACACTCAACTGTGTTCATTAAAATTAAGTGAGCTTTTTTAGAGTCGAAAAAATTCAATAAGAGAATGAAAGCCAATAATTTAAAAAATCGCATCTAAAATGAACCTTATAAATTATGAACGAAACTCATCGTTTTTTCTATCGATGGTAAAATCTCAAATTTCTGAGACTCTTTCATTATCGATACATTTGACGTAAAATATTTACCAGTTTCGATCGATAGCTTCCCTGGAAACGTTTTCAGCTTCGTCGAAAAATCTATCGTTAAAATTAAATGATCAAGAAATGAGAAATGCTGCATTCCGGGTATCAGTGTACTTCGAGGAACCGCTCCCAATTCTGTCAGATAAGGGAAGGAGTGTTTGCTACACTTTCCGGCTACGTAATAATGTTGGGCGCGCAACCTGAATCGATCTTTATGCACGCGAGGGACACACTGGGTGCAGAGAAAAGAGCTTTTTATGCGCGTCGCCAAGAAAAGACACTTCGCGCGCCCACAAGCACGCCTTTCTCCGCCTTAATGAGGATGCAAAAAGGCCACCGGGCATACGCCTTTTATCGATGAAGACAGCCGTGTGTTATCAATCGAAAAAACGCACAGGATCTCAATCAATCCCCTCTGTCCTTCTGCACTCACAATCAATTGGGAGCACAGATACATTTTGTCTACGATTAGGAGCAATTCTTTGCGTCGCGATAAAAGAATTAAAATAAACTTTGCGTTGACAAATTGAAAAATTATTAATTGCGAAATAAATCCGCGGGATTTTTTCCTTTGCTTATCAATTATCTTTCTAGATATCGGACAATATCAGAATCACTAACTTATCGCATAAAATTCAGGACATATATTGTTTTGAAAACGAATTTTTACGAAGGGATCTTTGATTGTTAAGCGAAAATTATACATCACGTGAGATAATTGTGAAATTACTATTTTAGATAATTCTGTATTATCTAATAATAATAATAATTTCACAATTATATATATTTCACGTAAAATTATTTTGTATTATCTTTTAATAACAATGAATATAATAGTCCCAATTTCTTGTGTAAAAACGTTATCAATTTTCAGTGCGGGGCAGTCTAATATTAAATTAGAAATCGTATTAAAGTTTGATTAGATCTGTCAAGTTTTCTCAAGATGTATGATATGAGGAGATATTTATTAATTTCTTAAGAAGAACCTGTTTAAATGAACGGAAAGAACACACAATTTTGTTAAAGTATCTGAAGAAAATATAGCTAAATATAGATTTGAAAATAATTTTGTTGAACCATCAAATTAATTACGTAGAAATGTCAAGCATGATGAGCAACGTTACAAAAAGTCTTGACATTCTAGTAATCAATTTGAGTATCCTACATAATTACAATACTTTGATGATTCAACAAAATAATGCATTTTTCACCTAATTCACTTAAGGGGATCCTAAAG